GACCCACCGGGCTTTGCGAATGATTTCACGAATCCCCGTTTCCCACCTATCCCCACCCGGACCCTCGCAGGCATGAGGCCCCTTCATCTTATCTTCTGCTCTTGGGATAAACATGTGCTGGCAATTTGCACTCGTCCAGCATCTACGGAGGAAGGATGCCAGGAATGTGCGGCACGGGCGCTGCAAGCGGGATTCGCTTGGGGTCATGGAAACCATTGATTTTCATTAAACTGAAATTGCTTTCAATTAAAATAATGAAAACCATACAGAAACAAAGCAAGACAGTCTTATCCAATAAAGAGAGCACGTCTAAATATGTATACTGATTTTCAATAATAAATGTTATCTGGGAGTCTCCAGTATGATCATATTTAAACTGCTTCATGTAGGTCTTTGGCAACTTCAGGAAACACAAAGTGATACATGCATGTCAATCCAAGGCAGCGAAACTGAAAAACCCAGAGAGTGAAAATCTAACGATGAAAAATAAGAATAATTAGCTTGATAGTGCAGTGGTTAGCACTGTTAGCTCCTCGTGTCACTGTGGGGTTTCCTCTGGGTTCTCCAGAACCGACAGTCTGGTAATATGCAAAATCGCCTGTAGGTGTGAATGGTGTGAGTGCCCTGTGATGGGTTGGCGCCCCCATCTTGGGTTATTCCATGCCTGGACAGGCTCTGGACCCCCACAACCATGAATAGGGCGAGTGGGTACAGTGGATCGTTAGATGGCGGAGGCTAAACGGAGCAGGGGAGAGGCGGGACACTGCTCACTGAGGTATACTGCTCACTGAGGTATACTGCTCACTGAGGTATACTGCTCACTGAGGTATACTGCTCACTGAGGAAAGATCCCACCTGCAGACATCTGGCTGAAGCGAGTAAGAGGCCATGACTGCCTAAGGCTCTGCAGAAATCCTGGTCACCGCCTGCCCGCTGACCCCTCCCTATTCAGCCTGCGAGTGCCGTTAACCCGCTGCTTTGTCCCGTGGCATTAAGCAGACGTCACAGCCCGTTAATCCGTCCATCCACTGCCCGGGCAGGGCGCCTTTAAACTTAAGTGCCTGTCAACGCGGATCGAAGTCGGAGCACAGTGAAGAAAAGCACGGCGCCTCTTCCGTGCCGGAAGCCCCCTCCGTGTCTGACACGCATCGGCCAGAGTGGCGCAGGTCAGCGGGATCGATCGGCAGTCGATGCGTTTCGCTGCGGCTGGTTCGGGATCCTTGGGGGCCCCTCCCTTTAAGCTGCCCCCCCAGCAGGTAGCACTAGGTTAAATCACATGAGGCAGGACGAGCTTGTGACCGGAGAATGCTGTCTACCTCTGTGCACCATTCCAACACGAGATCTCTCAGGGAGGCGTGGCCTGGCTGTCATGACATGTTCATGACGGTGTTTGTGCGTGTGTGGGGGATGGGGGGGGGCACTCAGTCAGGTGGTGGCGCCAGTGTGTTTTTTAAAGGCCTGCTCAACGATGGGCTCTGCCCCAAGCAGCGTGCCATACACTGTCAGCAGAAGCCTTCTTTCAGCCACAAATCAATGCAGCTCAGGGGTTCCTGGATCTGCACAGAACAGCCTACAGCCCCATAATCGAGTCACTTCGCACGGCAAACGTTACGCTTAATTACAGCATTGATTAGGAGGTGTACAGCCCTCTCAAAGTACGGAAACACTCTGTACAGGTCCCTCCTGTACAGAGATACATGTACAATGTAATTCAACACTCATTAAAACATCTCAGGCTAGAGGTCATGTTTCTGAAAGTATAAAATTATTTTATTTTAAAAATGTATTAGTTAATATAAAAAGTAAAACAAACATACTTATTAAAACCAAACCAGAAGCCATCCACCTCATATCTATACCAATCTGGAAATTCATTTGCATTTAATTTGAGTCATCAGACACACTATGAGCATTTTGTGTACAGTGTAAGGAATGTCATCCTTGTAATGGTTATTATTATTAATTATAATTTTACACCGACAAAAGCTGAAATACAAATGTTTAAAATTCACAAGGAAAATGTGGAAAAACTACGAAATCTTCAAAAGCAGTGGTGTAATAAATTAAATCATCCCCCAGAAAAATGTACCATATAGCAGAGTTCAACAAGTATGATATCATGCATTTCTATCCGAATACATCATGCTTATCTACGCCAAAAAAGATCACATTATGATTCATTTAACAGCAAGCAAACTCTAACAATCAAGAGAAATCATACAGATTATCTGGGAATTAATCAGTAAAATTTTCCTTAAGGAAATCAGTAAAAACATCAGTAAAAACAGGACAAAACAGAAAAACAAACAGTGGGTGTAACTTTAAAAAATCAGATTTTCCATCAAATCCAGTAAAACATCCTGCATTTTGTGACACTTTTTCAGTTGAGACAGGGGACAAATTTTCCGGCTCTGCAGAGATGCCTTACGTGAAGAGATTACCGGAAACAACGGTGTGAAGACTCCAGCACAGACAAGGTTGAGTTGGACGTGTGAAAGCAACAGAGAGGACGATTCAGAGCCCTTCCTTAGATGAGAGATTGATTTTTTTTCTTTTTTGTTCCTTCCCCCATCTGAGAAAAAAATCCTACTAACGTCATAGTTTTTTCAGAGAGAAGGGGGATCAGGACTGGGGTGTGTGTGTGTGTGTGTGTGTGTGTGTGTGCGTGCGTCACAAAGAGGGTAGCATAGTTACAGGCTCGCCGACAAAGAAGGTACTGCAAAAATTTTTAATGCGGTAAATCTCAATCGGACTTCTATGGGTGGCAATGCGCTCGATTATTTAGAGAGCAGCTATCCTTGGACACGAGGACTCAGGTTTTTTCACTGCAATGACTAACAGCACTTCATAGGTTTGCCCTTTGCTGTGGGGTCTGCCCTCAGCAGCTAAACACACAAACCTTCCTCTGTAGCGGGGACTGACGTCAGCCGTAGCCTAGCAACGGCCTTTTGGTGTAGAAGCGCCGGTGCTGACACTGTTTTCAATTGAGAGAGAAAGACAGTAAGCAGCAGGGCTGGAGAACTTTAAAGGAACAGGAATCCGAGCAGAACCCGGCACACCTTTCAGCAATGACCTCGGAAAAAAATACACACACACACACACATATATATATATACACACATTATATATATGTGTGCATATATATATTTATACACACACACACACACACACACACACACACACACAAGAACAAGCCCGCCGCAACGCAGAGAACATAAGATTGAAAATGACACATGAAACAGTACATTCAAATATAAGTGAGAAATGCAGCAGTTATAGCAATGCAAGATTGGCCTATTGCAGGGTTACGTTAACATAAAAAATATTTAACAATGTTAAATGAAAACTCTCCAATGTATGACAGAATGGCAAAAACGTTCATTCATAAAGATGGATCACGAAACATGAATAAAAAGTTTTGGTTTTTTTTAATGATTAAAAAAAAGCTTTGATGGGGCAGCAGGGGGAGGTTCTGTAAGTGTAACAGGAATCGGATGGTTAGACTTTCACATCTGCTATGTATGTATCAGCTCTAATACGTAGTCGTCTCATGACTACGGCACACAGGAACTATCCAAGCTAAATATAAGCTCTCAACATTTGTTACATACACATACCATTCATTTCACATTACACAGGGCTGGCACAATAAGCCTAACCTACTACTGTAATATGTAAATGAAAAAGGTAACATATATATACAAATTTTTCCTGAAGTGTTTTTGCGAGAACCGGACACCTATGATGATGGTATGTGTATACTGATTCAGCAAGCTGCTTGCTGAAACGGCTAGTGTTTTGCCTTTATAAATGTTCTAAATTATGAAATGTCTTAATTCTGTATTTGCACCGATCCACTTCTGTGCTCATTACTGAATTTTTTAAGATATCATTTTAATTAAAAGAACTCCCGTGAATAAAACAACCAGAAGTCTCAACATCAACAGAAATTTAGCCCATAGCATAATCTATGACAAAAACTACAAAATTTTGTATAAATTTAGTTATGACTTTAGGATGCACAAAACAAAACCAGATCACTATCTCCATTTTAAAACTTACAGACATGGACTCCTCTGACTCCTCACTGAGTCTAACTCAGTCGGCACCACAATAATAATTATATAAAAAAAAAAAACTTGGAAACAGTCAAACGGCCCACAGGACGGGTCTCATAACTACATATAATCCAGTCCAGCACTGATCACCTATGGAGCAATACAGGCACAGCATTAATTCAGTGCACATGGATCACTTTCTATCTATAGCATAAAAGCTACTCCAAAATGGAGATAATATTCCTTGTGTACAACCATAAAAATGCCTAATTTTCCAGGCAGCAGTGTATTTAATAAAATTCACACGTGAAGTTTTGTAAAGATGGTGTACATTTTATTACTTCATTTTGCAACTTGTATCAATACTCACAAGTATAAATGCAAAAAGGATATGTACGAACTCAGGAATTAATTAAATTAAAGCAACAAAGAATATGAAGAACCAGAAGGATTACGGAGCAGCTGAAAGGGAGCGGGCGGATCTTGCTCGCCTTTATACGCGCCTTTCAGCCGGACTGTGAGGACCGTGCCCCGAGTCACCGCTTCCCTGCTCGCCAGCTGCCCCAGCTCAGCTCGGCCCCGTAAAGCAGTCATCGGAACTAAACAGCTACAAGCTAATTGCCGGCGATAGTGACGCAAACGGTTGCCCGGGTAACAGCCGGAGTTGTGGAGAGTGGCCACTCTAGCATTTCCAATGCCGTCACCGAGGCCCCCATTCGGTCCAGCCGTCCCCCAAACCTCGATCGGAGCATACTGAGCAGGTTAACCCCCCCCCCTCCCCCAGCCCTGCACACGGATCAACTCAGACCACAGTACAGCACCCCTGTTAAGCAACCCCCCCCACCCACACCACACACACACCTGCCGTCTCCCCAGCAGGAAACGCAGCAGGCTGCTGTGAGCCACGATGCAAATCTGCCCATCAAAACAAAAGATGAATGATTCTGCCTGTGTTCTTCTGCTTCCGTTTCGTTCCAGGTTTGGACCGCGCAGGACGCCGCTTAGCACAAACCAAAAAAAAACACACGACCGCACAATACCCTCTCCATCCAACTATCTCCTTAAAAACACATACCTTCCTCTCTATGACAACATAAGCTACTTACATCCTCGGTAAGCCGAGAAAATGCCTACAGAGAAACAGGATTTACGTTTACATTCATTAATTTGGCAGCCAAGCGCGTTAAAACACAGACGAAGAGCATCAGCGCGGTACAGTCAGACGGGCCCAGGACCGCCACCTGTGCAGGCGGGGAAGCGGGACAGAATGACAGGTGGAGAAAAGGGGAGAAGCACCGGCTCGGTGATGTGACGCCAAAGAGGAGCCTGCCCGCGTGCCTTTCAGCACACAGCACACCATGTTCCCCGTGTACTGACCGCTTTGTACTGACACATGAATCACACCTAATGACATTTCAAATTAATTCCTTACACCAAAAATACTATATATGAATACAAATTCTCAAGAATGCATTTATTAATATAAACCAATATAAACCAACTCAAAATAACATTTAATTAGGCAAACACTTATTTTATCCTATAGATCACTTAATATTCCTCCAACGTCTAGAATTAAGCGACAGTTAAGATGATGCTATGATTTCATTGTAATATTCATCTGACAAGAAAGCAGCACAAACAGGAAGTGAAAATAGAGGTACTGTTGCAAATCGGGGCAGATTCCTACAGTCGTTTCACATTAAAACCCTTATTTCCAAAGCCTTAAAGGCGAACGTATGGAATGCTAGATAGCGAAAAGTCCGTCAGTTAAAAAGGAGGGTTCTTATCTGATAAATCCAGCCATTTGATAAGTACACTGACATCTAAAAATCAGATTGCTGCTAGTTATTATTAAATGGCATACTTCATATTCACGCTAAAGAATATTTCAAAAATATAAACTGTGTAGTCATTTCATTTTCACACTACGCATCAATTAGATAAGTCAAAACTTACATAAAATTCTCTAATCCACTACTTTTGTCAACAGATGATTGAATAAAATGTTCTCTTGAACTGAATGTTTTTTTAAGCATTCACCTGATGTGGGGTGGTGATTATTTCGGTAACACAGTGGTTCAGTGGGTAACACTCGCATCTCCAGGATTGGGGGTTCAAACCCAACGCGTGAGTGTGTGTTTGTGGTTTTCTCCTGTAATCCAAAAGTTAAAATTAACTGCTTATATTGATCGCATGTGCCCTGGGATGGAGTAGTGCCTAGGTCTAAGCTACCGAGTACAGGCTTCTGAATAAGAGATTAGATGGATCTACAATGTAAAGAAGGCACACAAGTGTGATTTTGCTGTGTACATATTTTGTGAAACATGCCCATTTTAATTATGTCCACATTGGCACAGTCATTATTTACAAGGTGGGGTGTTTCATCTTTCTCCCCGTTCCTTTGTGCTGGAGCTGATAACTGGATTTCTGCAGCGCAAAAAGTAAAACCCGTACCTCCTTTTTTTGTGTTGCTGTGGCACTTGCTACGTCACTGGCTGGTGACGCCAATGTTACATCATCCCACATGGCTTCACAGCGAGAGAACGTGATAGCAGCAGACCCCCCCTGCTGCAGCCCACGGCTCTGGCGACATGTCTGCGAGTTAGTTAACCTGCCCGGCGAAAATATCAGGGAGGGCAAAACCTATGCTGCAGTGTATGGGGGATTAACCCCTGAGCACACCTGAGCGCAGTGTACGTTCTACCTATGGACTATGTCCATGCGTCACACAGATAAGATAAAAGGGTCTTTCAGGCCAACTTGAGGAGGTCATTAAACATCTCGTTACATCTTTTCCTTAATAAATAGGGTCAGCTGCCAAGCAAATATCCCAAGCAAGAACAAGCCACAGGGCCAAGAAGACATACACTAAAGCGTTTTTTATAGGTTATGCCATATTTTCAATGACATATTGGTGCAATTTGAGGTTTCGTGCATATATGTAAATTTGGGCTTTAATTTGTTCAACAGTGCAGCTTCCACAAGGTTATTTATTGATTAATGATGCAACTCTCATGTTCGGAAAGACTCTGAGCGGTTAT